TGTTAAATGGGATGAGTCAATTTGCCTCCTCACTTTGCCCTCGAGGTGGTGCAAGGAGAAGGGTTTGGGACAGGTCACCCGAGACTTGAGAGCAGAAGCATGCGGGGGACAAGGGAGCAGGAGAGAGCTGGGCTTCACTCTTGAAGTCCCAGGCTGAGTTTCGGCCAATGAGGTCAAAAATGCCACCCATGGAAATGCTCTGAGGGCTCAGCAAGGGATGATGACAACCTGTAGGCTCAATGGCTGGCTCCATCCTCCTTGCCCTCTCCTAGATCTAGAAGATGAATCTCTTCTGGGGCTTTTGACTCAACTGGTGGCCCTGTAATCCTGGGTGCTGTGTGTAGGTTGTGGCCACTGTGCTGGCATGCTCAAGTAACTCTGTTTTGTTGCAAGGATCATTGGCAGACTGACGATCGTTGCAGGATCGACGAGACAGTCCAGGAAATTCTTGCTTAGGGGGTTGTGGTATTGGCTTCATCTCCAAAGCAGTCATCTGGCTGTTCTGCTGTGACATTCAGGATCACCCACTTTAATCTGTTTCCCTGAAATTGTGTTTTTGTTTTCTTCCCCTGCCTTGGTTGTGGCTGCTCAGAAGTCATCCCTGAGAGCACAATTGCTATTTTTATCTTAATTTTTTCCATAAAAACCTTTTCTTTTCTGAGAGAAACAGGATTGTGAGGAACCTCAAGAGGTCATGCAGTCCCATGGCAAAATGGGACAGCTGCTGACCAATATTTATTCAGCTTGTTCTTCAGAATACTCCGTGACAGGGACTGCTGAGCCTCAGCAAGCTCTACCAGGGCTTCACCGACTTCATCTCCTTAGGATAATCTGTTTGTGATGGGGCTGAAAGAGGTAGGAGCAGCAATGATGGTGCCTTGCGCTTCCTATCCTGGATCAGCCCCTGTTCTGTTCTGCGTCCTGTAAACATAGAAGAGAAAGGCAGTGCCTCATGGGAGGGCTTGCCATCTGAGTGCTCAAAACTCACCACCTGTGAAACGTCGGGAGCAGATCTGATCTGTCTGCATATGTAGGTCAACAATTGTGGATGTGATGTTCTTGGATGTGAAATACAGAAGAGATCACCTGTCCACTGCAAAGTGCATATGTCCCTGCTGAGTCACCGGTCCAGGCTCTCTCTCCAACCGTTTCCCACCACTGAATGCTATTTTCCAATCTTTCCTCTCTCTTGGGCAGATCTAAAGGATGAGGGATGGAAGCTGACTGGTGCAGTCCATCCTGCTGGTGTAGAGTAGACCATTTTAGGACACCTGCGGTGGAGGAAGGCTTGCTTTTTTTTTTTTTTTTTGCTATCCGCCTGCTCCAAATTAAAAAGGTTGGTTGCATATGCTGCCTTTATAGAGCTATGACTCCCTGGGTAGTGGGACAGTGCAAGTCCTTGCAGATCTTGCTGCCGTGCTGGGCTTGCTCTTGCTGAGCAATTATTTCCACCATATGTGCTAGCTCAAGCACAGCCCTGAGCTTTGTGCCCTGCTGCCAAAGGCAGGTCACCGAAAGCTCCAACCCCTGGTCACGCCTGGAGCATTTCCCATCAGTGTCCGTGGCAGTTGAGCTGAATAAGCCCAAATCTCAGGCTCCGGATTGTAGGCCTGAACTTGCCTCTGTTGTTCAGTGTCTAGTTGACGGCCCTAGCTTGAACCCACTCTTGGTGCAAACAGAAGCATGCCATAAAGTACCAGGCTGACCAGCGGTTGTATTGAGGCTTTAGCTGACAGTTGATCCCACCGAGAGCTCAAAATGTATCCCTTGTGCTTGAACCCTTCACTTGGCCAAATTTTGGGGGAAAAAAACCTATTGCAGGTTGATACAGATGGAATAGGGAGTGTGTCTGTGGCCAGATGTGGTGCGTGCTGTGTGTCAGAGGTGGGGACAACCAAGAGGTCTCCCCACCAGCCCCTAACTGAGGTGTGCCTTTCCCTTGCAGCCCACACGCTCGTCTGCTTTTCGTGCTCGGATGCATCCTCCAACTGGGCCTGCCTGAAGCCCGTCAAGTGCGGGGAGAATGAAAACCACTGCGTGACGACGTACGTCGGAGTGGGAATCGGTGAGTGGTGGCAGGACCTTCTCTGGCCCCTCTTGGCTGCTCTCCGGGGTCACCTGCTGAGCTGCAGGAAGGCTTTAGCTGGAGAAAGGGGAAAGTTCTGCTTAGCAGCTGAGTGTCAGACCATCCCAAGGGAATTTTATGAGGGATATGCTGCCAGACGGAGTCACGTTAAAACCCACGTGCCTGCACCAACACCAGGAGTCCGAGGGGAATTTCGGGGTGGGGGCGGGGAGGTTGCTGATGACTAAGTGGAAGTGTGGAGGATGCTGCAGGCTTCTTTGTAGGAAAGCTGTGGGGTTGCCCTTCCTGCTTTTGCCCTGTGTTTGGGTTGTTCATCCCCGAGTCCCACCTTTGCTTCTTTGTTCTCTGTGGGTGAGGTGGGGGTTGCCGGGAAGGGAAATTGCAGGTTTCCTCCCTAAATGTCAGAAAAGATCGGCGGGGGGTTCTGTGCTTCCCGGCTGTTGCTCCTAGGGAAGCAGGCTGCTCTGGCAGGTCTCCTGGCACCATCGCAGAGACGAGAGCCCAGCCTGGCTTGCCTTGCCGTCCCTTGCAGGAGGCAGGGGTGTTGCATGCTTGAGTTGCACGGTCCGCAACGTGGGTGGTCGTGCATGCACAAATGGAGGCTGGGAGCTTTTATAAACCCGTTGTCTTAGCACAGTGCTAATGGTTTCCTATTTCCTGCTGCTAACTGTGTGCTGCGCCTCTCTCGCAGCCGACGTACGAGACGCAGCCTTCGGTCATGAGTGCCTCCCTGGTGCTCTGTAAGCCCCATGCTCCCCGTCTTGCTCGAGGAGTCCCAGGGTCAAGCTTGAGTGGGATTTTTGAGATTCTTCCCTGGAGCCGTGGTGGCCAAACTTTGGCTGACAGCCTGGAAGGGGTGTTGCTGGGGTGTTGCATGGTCTCTAGAGTCTGTGTGGGAGGTTGTCATGGGTGTTCCTTGAGATGCGTGGGCTGGCTGAGATTACTGTCCGCCTGACGCCGAGAAGCACTTTGTCCTCTCTGTGCCACCTGCGACGCTTCAGCTATTTCAGTGCTGTTATTTCCTTTGCAGAACAGGTGATCAGAAAACCGAGAAACATTATAAACCTGTCTCCTTTTTGCTTTTCTTCCTTCCCTCCTGCCCCAACCTAAATTCAGGCAGCAAGTCTGGCCAGTCCATCTCCAAAGGATGCTCACCTATTTGCCCCAAAGGCGGGATTAACCTCGGCATAGCGGCTGCCTCCGTTTACTGCTGCGACTCCTTCCTCTGCAACATCAGCGGTTCCAGCAGCGTGAAAGCCAGCTACGCGGTCCTGGCCTTGGGTGTCCTCGTCAGCTTCATCTACGTCCTCAGGGCTCGCGAGTGATGGGGCTGGCGGAGGAAGAGCCGTCTTCCACGGGCTGTTGCAGGTCTCATTAGCCAATATCTTCTCTGTCGCTGTCTGCAAGGAGATCCTCTACTTCTCAGCAGGCTTCCAAGGTGGTCGTTTCCCAGACTTTATGCTCTTCCAGCATTGGAGACCTGAGCAGTTTGGCCAAGCTGTTCTCCTTCTGTGGACATACCCCACTGCACTCTCACACCTCCTTGGCAAAGGTGAATCATTTTGGAAGGGTTTCTGCTTTTATACCTAATACCCTCCCCCCTCGTTTCTAAGGTTGGTTAAAACAAGGCTGGGACTTGCCGAGAACCGATTAACCCCAGATACCACCCGGTCAAGTGTTCAGACGTTCCTGCCTCTCTCCTCCGTGGAGGTGCCTGGCACCGGTGTGTCCCCAGCACATGGGTGGTCCGGGCACCGGGAATGCATGACCCGAAGGGAGACACATTCCCAGCCCCTACAGCTGTGACTTTTCTGGAAAACAAATGACGTGTACCTTGTCCTTCCAAGCTCTGTAAGTGCCAGACCTGAATAAACATGCTCCTGTTGTTACCTGAGATGGGACGTGTGCTGTGTGTGTTTCCTTGCTCCAGACAGAGAGATTAGAAACTCTTTTAGAAGAAACCCAAATATTACAGCCGGCACAAGGGCCTCTTACTCTCTCAAGCGGCTTCATCTCAGCATTCCTTCCAGTTCACCTCTGAGCAGCAAGTCCATCTTCTCCCTGTCCCTGTCCTTTCTGATAAACACCCCTGAGCCAGCTTGTTTCGCCTCTCTTAGGAATTGCATTTTCCAGGTGCATTTTAGTGAAAAAAATGCCAGTTATTGGGGTCTGAGTCAACCCCATTACTCCTAATGGAGCAAGCGCACTGGGAAGAGGACCTCTAAAAATTAGTCTGCGTATTACAAAGACTTAGTGCCTCCATTTTCCTGCTTGGGACTTGTGATGGTGATAGACAACAATGACATCGACACCTCAATGACCCAGGGCAACAGGTCTGTTTGCAAAATGTAGTGAAGTCAGAGGCAAAGATATCGATGCTCAGATCTTTAGGTTCAACCTGCAATCCCTGGCTGATGGTGCACGTGGACTGCAGAAGGTGACTTCACCACCAAACCTGCCGCTCCTGCTGTCCCTCAGATCCCAGGATCTCCCCAGGTCTTTGGGCAGCGTTGCTTCTGGAAGTTCTCGGCTGTCCTGTGGGATATGTGTCCTCCTGCCATCTCTGCATCATGCTGGTTTCCTTCCTGCTTTGCCTACCTGTGGACTTGCTAGACACAAAACAAGCCAAAATCAAGCCTTAAACTATCAGACAAATGCTTGCTGTCACTTCCACTGATTGATCAGAGGTGCATTGGGCTTTTTTTCTCTGCTAGCAGGAAAAATCAGGTGTAGCATTGGCTGTCTTTAGCCATGGCTTTTCCTTCTACGTGGTTCTATTTTGTGTCAACAAGCAAACAAAAGCCTCTCAAGCTGTACACACTGTTCAATTATACCTCCAACCCCATTTAAACGCGTGATAAACAGCTTCTTCTGACAGGTGGCGTGCAGATGTATAGAAATACTTGCAACAAAACTGGTTACGTGTTTTTTCCTCTTCCTTCTCCCCATCTTTTAATTAAAATTACACAGATGTTAATGACAGCCTTTGCAACAGGAGGGGCTGGTCACTGTGACGTGACCTGCAATTAGGTGATGAGTTTGGTAAGAACGCATCGCTTGTCTCGTTGGTCCTCAGATGTGCCTTCCTCTGGTTAATGCATCCTCCCTCGCCTGCTGGGACCGCAGGGCTCGAGGTGCGCCACAAAACCTCTGCTATGCACATACAGCGCAGGGAAAATTGGGGGAAAAAAATGACTAGAAATGGGGTAAATATTCCTTAGCTTCCCTGTGCCTGAGCCTTCCTCCCAAGAGCGTTAGAAACCTCGTTTGCAGGGTTAATTTGTTCCTTGCCGCTTGCTGTGAGTAGATGCTGTAGTGAGACCAAGGCAGGGCCCAGAGTATTCTACCTTGCAAGTAATGGGGCTGTAACTCTTTTCTAGCCACCTGGTAAAAGGTTTCTTGGTTTTGGCCTCCATTACCCTTACAACACCTCTGCTGTGAGCAAAGAGCTGAACTCAAAAGCCGTCGGCATAGCTGTGTCCTCATGCCCGTTCATGCCTTTACGAGGTTCTTGAGAATGCTGCGCTGGACGAGCCCATAGGCTAAAGCTACGAGCTGGGTTATGAGAACTGGTTGCCCTCCCCCAGTGGCCATCTCCTTCCTATCTCAGCGTTTCAGAGTTTCCTCGTGCCAAGGACTTGGTTATGCAAGGGAACGAGGGCTGGCAGGAAGAGCACTCAGCAGGCTACTTACCCTATACAAATAATGAGTTAGATTAATGGTATTGCCAGGGGACAGCTCTGAAGGTCAGCTCACACGTGTTCTTGAGCCTATAGATGAGGAATAGATTGCATATGGAGATTTTTTTTTCCTCTTCATGCTCTTTTTGTCTTTCTCTTCTCCTCACGTGCTATATTCCTCTATGTTTTGTATATGGACGAAGAGGTCTTTGCAGTTTTTCCTTTTGAACACGTGTGGCAAAGATCTCTTTGATGGATGCATGTATATTTGAGAGAGGGGGAGGGTATGACAGCTTGTCAAATGCAAGAGATGTTATTCAACAGTTTAATCCCAAGCATCATATGATCAGTTCTGCGAGTTCTCACAATTTCTGGCCCTGCTATAGATTTTTTTTTTTGGCCCCCAAGCCCCCAGCACCAGAAATCATGTGAGAACCTCAGCTGTTTGTAAAGCCCAGGAGTGAAAGGCCTGAAAATGTGCAGCTGTAGTAATTAAAAACATTAATAATAAGAAGAAAATAAAGAGCAAGTACCAAGCATCTACAGAGCATTAAAACTGGTGGCTTGTTAAACCAAACGCCTGGTTTGGAACTTGAGGGCTACAGTGGGACAGCCCTTAAGTGCTTTGAATGTGTTTACTTGGACTGTGGAATTAGAGATCGAAATCTCAGCAGAAAACTCAGATCTTCACCTTTTCTGACAAGATGAGAGGTTATGAGGGGAGGCAGTTCTGGACAGGCATAAAATATCCCAGAGGAGTTTCCACTGGAAAATAAGAAGAGCTTCAGCCAAATACCTGCCCATTTTGGAGCATGCTAATGAGAAAATGGTTTCTGTGCTTCCGTCCCAGAAATGGCTGTAATTCAGTGGTAGCTGCTGCCATCTACGACTACGCCAGCATTGCAAGGGCTCTCATTTTTGGGTATCATCTGTACATGCTCAGCGCTTACTGCGGCACCAGCCCTTCCCTCCCAGGTTCCCTGGGTTTGCTGTTTGCCAAAAACGAGGACTTAAAAATGAACAAAGTTCTTCCAACTATTTTTGAGAATTTTTTTTTCTGCAAAAGGGCAACGTTTCTTCTTTGGGAAAACTCAAACCTGATGTGATGTCCTTGCAGAAACAGCCAGAACAAATAAGGCCGGTTGCTTAATCATTACTCAAAGGACCCGCGTTGTTACTCAAAGAATGTCCTTGGTTGGTATTAATTTACTCAAGTTATGTGTTATTTGACTTGCCTCTCAGAGACCCTGTTTGCCACGAAGGAGGCTGTGGTCCCACCACCCCTGTGGGAAGTTCCCATCCCTGGGGGTATTTAAAAGCCGGGCAGACGAGGTGCTTAGGGACAGGTTTTAGTGGTGGGATGGCAGGGTTAGGGGAACGGTTGGGCTGGGTGGTCTTAAAGGGCTTTTCCAACCTAAACGATTCTATGATTCTAAGCCTGGTAGTTCTGGTCAAGCTGGCTGTGCCTCCATGCTGGAATGAGATATAGGCATTCATGCTCTCCTTCTCTGGGAAAGGCAGATGTGGTGCACATCTGGATGCTTGGAGGTTTAGGGCCCAGTCACAAGCCCCTTGCTCCTGCGATCCCAGTCCTTTCGCACCCTGAAGCTGGGCTGTGCTTTCACTGTCATCCTCACTGGTGAGGTGCTGCGGGTCTCAGCTGTTTGGGATGAAGATGGCTCTGAATCCTTCCTTGATCCTGGAGGATTTGTTTTGCCCCTGGAAAGCTGCTGTCTGAGGCTATCAAACTGGAATGTGGGTAGACACACCCAATTTTGCATTTTGGGAGTGTTCATGGTGCACAGGGAAGCAAAGCCCTGGGTCGGTCCTGCCATCTACTGGCTTTTGCCAGACCTGGTAGAGATGCTTTGAATCCCAGATCCCACAAGTCAAGGAGGAACCGTTAACACATGAAACCGTGAGCAGGGAGCCAAGGCCGAGCTACTTTTAATCTGATAATTGCATGCAAAGCAGAGAATCAGAAGCATCAGAGACAGATTGAGTGTTTTAATTTGTCCAGCTTTGCCTTGATAGTGTAAACTGAGAAATGAAAGGCTTAGGAGCCTTCCCAGGACCGACTTTTTCCAAGGGAACACATTTTCCAGCCCAAAGCCTACGTTTCATCAAAACCGAAACACTTCATGAAAATATTATAAGGCCAATGAAGTCTTGCAGAAAAAAAAAATATATATTGACACATTTTATTTCAGCTTTGTTGGATGATCTCATTTCACCGAGGCGGTTACACTGACATGTTGATTTCACTAATACATGTATGTGAGATTTGTAATTGTGTATTACCTTTATTGTAACAGAATAAGCAGAATAAAACCCCATTGATTCCTTTAAAGATACTAACGTGAGTATAAGTGTAGAGTACGTGACATATTGTTTCTTACACTCTAATAAAAAAATATATGGAATTAATAAAAAAGGTACACTTGGAACAAAATTTTTGGATGGTTCTGCAGATATTACAGATATTACCTCTTGCTTTGTATGAAAAGAAAGCCTTTGGGTTGGATTCAAAGCCCAGGGCTGGGGGTTGCAGGCCGGTCAAAAGGAGGACAGAATAGACTATAGGGAGGAATAAATCCCTACATGCCAGCTCAAGGCCATTGGAGTCTCCTCCTGGCGATGGATAAAGAACAAGGATTGTCTTTGCCTTCAATAGTCGTGCTCATAAATATCGTTGACTTGCCCGTGACCCTACTGGGAATGGAGATGGGATTTGTCCTTTGAGCGTGTGCTCTTTCTTATTGGAGCGGGCGGCTATTTTGGGCATATAATGGCCCTTGTGTGGGTGTCTGTGGGCAGCTGCTCCTCTTCCAGAGCTCCCTGGGGCTGCAGTGCTTGCAGGGCCCCTCTCCTGCCCGTGGACAGATGCACGCATGGACACATGGATGTGGGGGGCTGGTTGCTCTGGAGCCTCCCTGCCTTGTTCTTCTGAACCGGGGAGCGTTCATGCTGCTTTGCAAAGATGTGTCATTCTCATTTTTGTTTAAAGCTTTGTTATTTTGGGGATCCCAGTTGGATCCTGTGGGAAAAAGAGATTATCTTCCCTAGGGAATGCAAGACAAATGCAGAATAATAGCGATGGGCTCTCAGGAGTTTCTTAGGAACAG